ATATTAATGCCGATATATCGTGCAGCCCTAGTTCTGATATAGGGAACAAGCAGATGTGGAATAACACTGATTTCTTGTTGAATTGTCTTTTTATGGCTTTAAGTTGATGTCTGTCTATGTTCCTGTAGTGGGACGATGAGACTGATATGGCGAAGCTGGAGGAGTGTGTGCGCTCGGTGCAGATGGACGGGCTACTGTGGGGAGCATCCAAACTGGTGCCAGTTGGCTATGGCATCAAGAAGCTGCAGATCAACTGCGTGGTTGAAGACGACAAAGTTGGCACCGACATTCTGGAGGAGGAGATCACCAAGTTTGAGGACTTTGTAAGTCATTTTAAAAAAAATGAAGGGTCAGAAAACCTTTTTTTCCACTTATCGTGTAGTATCTAGTCTTATACATAACTTTGACTTTTATCTGCTGAGGTTTTAAAACATCAGCTTTTCTGCCTCCGTCCCAATGCTATGGGCTGATTGGAATTGAATTACTGGTGCTCAAAGAATTGGACAATTACAGTACAAGATTTCACAGAAAAATGAGTCAGTCATGGTTTACATGCAAACAAAGTTGTTTTCATGACAATAGAGAACACTGCCTGTGACCAGATCACTGGATTGCACGTAAACACACTGACTTGTACTGTGTACCTCACTGACTAGATGAATAGTCCCTATTATTAAAATAGTTAATTCTTCCACTGTATTGGTTTCTAACAATGCAGATATTGTTTCATCTTATAAAGCTTGTGATTTGAACCAGAACTCTAAAAACTCAAAATGAATCAGGAATCCAGGAAAAATTCATGCCCCAAAACCTTTTTATAAGATCAGCTTTTTGATCTATAAGCTCATTCGCTTACTGATGAAGATTTAAATGATACCATTCTGATGTATATCCATTAAATGCAAGGCTTCAGACAGCAGTCAGTTATTTTACCACAGAAATTGGAAGGGGGGCACATTCTGCCTACCAGCACTGGGGTTGTGTGTATTTCTTGTCTGAGAGCCATTGCACACAGACTCCTGTAAAACAGCAAATTGGTGTTTTTCAAGCGAGTTGTAACATGTTATATCCTGATATAACTGTGAACTTCAGGAGGTGCTGGTAGGTGGATTGTGTTACATTTGGACAGAGCCAGGCAAGCAGTTAACCATCTGCAGGCTGTGGCCTTAACAGAATGGGTACGAGTGGTATTCATCTATCTCTATCTCTGCTAGAAAGCAAATAAGTATTTCTTAAAATGTCTAATTATTCCCTTAAATGTGGGGGAGGGTCTGTTTATCTGTATGACATTAAATGCTTTATTGATTTTAAATAAAATACTTTTGACACACAATCAAACATAAAACACCATAAATGTTCAAATAAATACACAGACATGATTTTCCTTCCTTTGTAGATCCAGAGTGTAGATGTCGCTGCCTTCAATAAGATCTAAGCTCCACCAGCTCTTTCCCGGCTCCACCAAAGTGTTGCTGCTGCTCCCGGCTTTCAGTTATTAAATGCTAAGTTTTGAGCACAAACCTTTGTCTCTGTTTCATGATTATTCCATTCTAAGTATTTTGAACCCCAAACTAACAAGGTTACTTGAGAGCTGTTATTCTTGATGAGAGGGCAGAGAGCACAGCTTCAAAGTAGAGCCCAATCCCACCCAAAATCCTGGGTATACGGGCTGGTTGAATGTAGTCTTGACTTTATGGATTAAAACCATGGTATCAGAAACATTATAGAAAGACAAAGTTCCACCCCTGAAGTCCAGATACACTCCTATCCTGTTGCTGCAGGGAGCAGCGACGGTCACACTCTCCTTATTGTGCTGAAATGAACAGACGGAGTAAGAGCAGTCCAGGCTCCAGGATTTGGAGTTGTGTCCGAGCTTGCAGTCGCTCCCCCCTCCACTCCTGCCTATGTTTTTGTAGCAGACGCCGATGGAAACCCCTCCGTTACCAGCCCACTCTACCTCCCAGTAGCAGCGCCCGGCCATCCCAGCTTTGCACAGCACCTGGGCCCAGTTGGTGAAGCGAGACGGGTGATCCGGGTAGGGCTGTGGCTCAGAGCGCGTGGTCACCCCTCTTCGACCGTCAGAGAAACTCAGATAGGGATTGGCTGTGTTTGGGTCCAGGGTTATATCATTGTGATCTGGACACAGTACATGCACATGGTCAGAGACGGATTAGATCATTAGTTTCATAAAGATGTTAGTGAGGTAAATAATTGCACTCACATTGTAAAAAGTCAGCTCTTGTCTTCGGCGCTGCGTCGTATGAGGTGTCTGTGTCTTTAGCTGTTGCTGTTAGACAGATGTAGGGATGATGTTAAACAAGAGTTATACTGATGACAAACAATAGCTTCTTGCACATTGCAAAAGATTAAGCACTGCGTTAGAAAACATCTGGTTCTCCGTTTAAAAAGGTAAATGTAGAAGCCTGTGTACATTAAAAACTTCAAAGTAGATGTTAACTACAATTCCCAAGGTGCATTGCAGGAAGAAACGTCTAATCACAAAGCTATAAAGCTATAAAAAAACAAAATCTGCACTGTTTTAAATTCTGTCTATAGTGAGTGAATTCAGGAACAATGGGGCTGTGTTTTGTTCTCAGCTGTAACAGCAAAGCCATGTTGACTTCACCATCGCTCTGATTCACACCTCTGACTTGCCTCTTCTCCATGGCAACAGTGGCCGAGGCTCATGGGTATGGTAGTAATAAGACTTGTCCACCATACCAAAATTATGGATAAAATAAGATTTTCCCAGAAATGTACTGTAGGTTTATGTCACAACATAAACCTACAGGACCATTACACCGCT